GGAAGTTAAAGATCCTGATGGTTCCACACAGCTTGTAAGTGGAAAGTCTGGGATTTGACTCAAGCGTGATTTTTTTTTCTCCAAAGTCTAAACTCTTTTTCATTGTTTATTGGTGGATCACTTGAGAGAAATAGAGAGAGAAGGGGAGAGAGAGAGAGAGAGAGAGAGAGAGAGAGAGAGAGAGAGAGATATGGAGATGGAGTTCAGCAAGGGGAATGCAGAGTTCCTGTGGTTTTTTGATTACAGCGTTGTCAGATGTCTCAGAAGGTAAAGGATTTGAAGCATTTGTATCTAGACACATCAGCTCTGGCCTTTCCCAAACCTAATTACATCAGCAAAATGACCAACCAGCAACAGGGGGCAGAGAGCCACCATGAAAAGAATACAGGCACTGACACTTGGGTTGGGCGTATTCAGAGTGTCTTTGGATAAATTACTTCACCTCTCAGAGCCTTCATTTCCTTATCTACAAATTGTGACAAACAGTACTTTCTCACAGGGCCTCAAACACGCTCAAATATGGAAAGGGCCTCCTTACAACATTGGTTCTTACGGTTTCTACCAGGAAATGACATAAGACACCTCTACACACATTTAATTGGCCAAAACAAGTGGCATGCCCATCTCTAACTCCAAGGAAGAGCAGTCCTAGCATATATCTGGAAAGAGGATCAAAATTACTTGGTGAACACTCAGTATCATTCTTCAATCACATTCTTTAAAAATAAATATATACTTGGGTTTCATGATTGAAGTCACTTTTGTGGAATGGATTGTAAATAAATTATAGTCAGATATAATAGTAGAGCTGCTATTTATGGAATGACAATGCCCTCTTCAGATGTGGCCTAGGAAGATACTGGGAAAGGAAACAACTGCCAGAAATGTAATCAAGAGCCACAAAGACTATTTCCCATGTTAGGGTAGGAGTCTTTGCAACATCTGCCCCCCAAAATTTCAGAACTGCTGTGGCCCAAAGACTGCTACATTGCTTTAATTTTCCCTCTTTCTTGGCAGAAAGGCTTTTTGATTATTCATCCTCATGACACTGTTGTGTAGTGTGTGTGTGTGTGTGTGTGTGTGTGTGTGTGAATGCATGTGTATGTGTTGTGGGAAGGACATGATGGTTGTAGTGGCAAGCAATCTGTCCTATTAGTATGTAGGTCTCCAGATTAAGTGAAGCTACATTTTGGTCTGCTATAGAGCCTCCCATGCATCTCACCCTGAGGAAGAAATCAACAGGAATCACTTGGAGAGCTTGGAACCAGTAACAGGTGGGACTTTTGGCTTGTCTTATATAGGGAAGGATGGAAGTATTTTTCATGTGGGAAGGAGAATCAAATATCTATTGAACAGGTGAACAAACTGTAGTGTTCATCAATATTGTTAAAATATTTTCAGTATTTCTTTCAAATACATTGTAGATTTCACTTTCCTGTTCTCATGAAGTTAGATAGGGTCATATGACTTGCTTTTGCAAATAAAATGTAAATACAAATGAGCTTGTACACAATTTGCCATTTCCCCCCCTCTTATTAGGTACCCAGCCATGCGGCTGTTCTGTTTGCGTGGGTCCCATACTGAGGATAGAGCAGACAAGTGCCCCCATTGATTTTCAGTAAATATGAAGTGATAGTTATTTTGGCAAGTGAGGGTTGGGGCTTGTCATTGCAGCACAACTTAACCTACTCTAACTGATCTTATTTCTTTATAAAATCACTTTTGATATTCCATCATGTATTCTTTATCCAGTGCACCTTCAATGGGCATCTGGGTTGGTTTCATGCTTTTGCTATTGTGAATAGTGCTACCATGAACATATGTGTTCAGGTGTCTTTTTTGGTAGAGCAATTTATGTTCCTTTGGGTATTTTCCCAGGAAAGGGATTACTGAATCATATGGAAGCTCAATTTTAAGTTATTTGAGAAATCATCAGACTACTTTCCACAAAGACTGAACTAACTTATATTTTCACCAACAGTCTAGAAGTGTGTTCTTTTCTCCACAGCCCCACCAGCACCTGTTGTTTTTTGACTTTTTAATGATAACCATCCTTCCTGGTATTAGGTGTTATATCATTGTAGGTTTGCTTTGCATTTCTCTAATAATTAATGAGGCTGAGCATTTTTTCATGTGTTTGTTGGCTGCGTGTATGTCATCCTTTGAGAAGTGTCTGTTAATGTCCTTTGTCCACTTTTTAATGGGGTTGTTTGGTTTTTTTCCTTTCAGTTTATTTGAGTTCCTTGTAGATCCTAGATATTAGGCATTTGTCAGATGCATAACTTGCAAATATTTTTCCCAATCCATGTCTATTTACTCTGTTGATGGATTTTTGTTTGTTTGTTGTTTGTTTGTTTGCTGTGGGAAAACTTTTCAGTTTGATAAGGTTCCACCTGTCAGTCTTAGCTTTTGTTGCACTTACTTTTGAGGACTTGGCCATGAATTCATTACCTACTCTGATGTCCAGGAGGGTGGGAGGGTGTTCCCTCATTTTTCTTCTAAGATTCTTATAGTTTGAGGTTTTACATTTAAGTCTTTGATCCATTAATACATGATGGAATATCACACAACCACAAAGAAGAACAAAATTTCACGACCCGCCTGGATGGTGAGACCTCATCTCTACAATAAATCAAAAAATCAGCAGGGCGTGGTAGCGCATACCTATAATTCCAGCTACTTGGAAGGCTGAGGCGGAAGGATCGCCGGAGCCCAGCAGGTCAAGGCTGCGGTGGCCGGGAGCGGCCACTGCACTCCAGTCTGGGTGACAGAGTGAGACTCCAACTCAAAAAAAAAAAAAAAAACAAAAAAAAAGAACAAAATTGCCTTTGCAGCAACATGGATGCAACTGGAGACCATTATACTAAGTGAACTATCACAGAAACAAATAACTGAATACCATATTTTCTCACTCATAAGCAGACCCTGATCACTAGTCACATGGGCACAAAGGTGGGATTGGCAGATGCTGGACACTGCTTGGGAAAGGAGGAAGGGCACATGACAACACACTGGGTATCTGGTCCACTATTAGGGAAAGAGAGAACCAGCTGGAAGTCCTAACTTCCCCTGTATGCAACTTACTTATGTTGTAAATCCTCACTTGTACCCTATAACTCTAAAATAAGAAATAAAATAAAATAATATTATCCTGTTGGCATTAGAAAAAAAAAAAATCACTTTTGATCTTTTGAGACTTCCCCCCACTGTAGGCAGTAGGCATGTAACTCAGCAGCAGTTGTAGCTGGTCTTGTAGAGATGGGGGCAGGTTTCCCATCACAGGCTGGGGTGACAAGAATCCAGATGTGGTCTCTGAGGGCCTCTAGGGAAGAATCATGGTAAGGTTCATAGTGGAGACATGATTAGGACCATTTTTTTTCCCTATGGGTATTATCCAGGCTGTCCCTTAATATCCACAGGCTGGTTGTGGTGTCCATAAGGGTCACTGAGCCAGACCAGAAGGCCATCACTCTAGCATAGGTGTGTTCAGTGGTTATTGCTTTCTGTGTGACCCCTGAGTCAGTGCCTTGCTATTAAATGGCTTCATGAACTCTTGCCAGGTGGCATAGTCTCCCTTTTCTGATATCTTGGAAAGCCTACGTTTAATGGCCAGGCTCAGTGGCTCAGCCTGTAATCACGCGCCTTTGGGAGGCTGAGGTGAGTGGATTGCCTGAGCCCGCGGGTTCGAGAACCGCCTGGGCAGTGAGACCTCATCTCTACAATAAATCAAAAAATCAGCCGGGCATGGTAGCGCATGCCTGTAATTCTGGCTATTCGGAAGGCTGAGGCTGAAGGATCGCTGGAGCCCAGCAGGCGAGGCTGCGGTGGCCGGGAGCGGCCACTGCACTCCAGTCCAGGTGACAGAGTGAGACTCCAAATCAAAAAAAAGAAATGTTTAATGAATGTTTTACTATCATGTGACACATGTCAGACATCAAGTAGTGGACTCAGCTCAAAAACACCTTATCTTCTCTTGCCTCATTCATGCCTTACCTCTTTCCTAGATTTTGAACCTCTAGTGCTCCCATGCTATACCATATGTGCTTCTTTCCATCTTCTTTGGCATGGAGTTGCCCATAAACTCACTCTTTTACCAGCCCAGAGGGACCTGTCTCACTCTTAGTTCACTCCCCTTGGTCCCCCATAGTGAATGATCAAAATCACAAATCTTGGTAACTTTCACAGAATCCATCAACACAAGGTTCTACCATATCTCAAAATACTAATTTACTTATTTGGGGAGCATTTTCCTTCCTCTCTGCTGTTTTACTGGTTCTTCAAAGCACCCCCAGCCCTTAAGGGGCTGAAACAAAAACTCCAGTAGACCTGAGTGAGAGATAGAAAGTTTACACGCACGCTTGGTCCTTATAAAGAGGAGATTAGGGGATTAGGACAGAGGCGGCAGCACAGAAAGAGAGGAGGTAGACAGAAACCTTCCAGCAGGAAGGCAACAGCGGACCTCTGTCCTTAGAGACCAGGGAACGGGCTGAGGGCTGAGCTGATTTTGAGAGTAGCTTCCTGTGGCCCATGGCCTATACACAATCTGCCTCCCGTTGCCCTGGGCATTTGTGAGTTCCCTGAAGAGAGTTGGGAGCTTGAACACTTGTGTGGGAATGAAGGGAGAGCCTTGGTTCCTGGCCAGTTTAATACTCATCAGAGGCAACTGGCAATTCTGATACAAGATTCTACATTCATCTTTTTCTCTGTACAGCCCCAGTTTGGAAATGGATATCATTTCAGAACAATAAAAGGCATTAGCCACTCAGAGGCAACCATAACACTGCTTGTTTGATTAAAATCAAAATCTGGCCCCAAGCTTGTTGTTACATAGGCTTAGTGTATGATTTAATACTTATTTTTATATGTCCTGACTTTTTTGGTAAGGAGTGGTCAATTTTTTGAATGTATTGTCATACTACTTGCTTTTCCTTTTTCTCCATCAGTACCTTTCATGGACTATTCACACATGGGACAGGGCAAAAGGTTTCACTAAGGATTACCTTGCCAACAAGCACCGACCGTAAGCTGCATGGCTATGTGAGATGGATGAATGGGCCAATCGTTGGTCACCAGGTAAGGCTCATATGTTGCTCCATCCATGTATAAGGTAACCACAGGAAACTCCACATTGATGACATAGTAATGCCATTCTTTGTCACAAATCTAATGAAAAGAAACAGAAGCAACACTTAAAATAGAATATGTATTGCAACATCAAACAGGCTTTTATTCCAATTATGAAAGGGGGAAGAGACATTTTGGGGTCAACAATTTTTATTGCAAAGAACTTCAAGGAACATAATGGTTGACATGTATCGAAGTTATAGAGGCTCATCATCAAACATGGTGGGGCAAACCATGGGGGAGAGAAACACCCAAGAATCCAATCATCAGGCAGATATTTAACTATGGGCAGATATTTAACTATGGGCAGATGGTTCAACCCTACCTTGGTACACTTGGGGAGGCGGAGAAGTACCATAAGTGGGTCCTCCTGGCCTGGACTCACTGCAGAATACTCTCACAGCTTGTCATACCCAAGACTTCTGGTCTCAGGGCTGGGAATCCAAATCTAACCTTACTGCCATCAAGGGATTGGACTCATACAGCATGATGTAAAACAGAAACCAAGACTGGCTTGTCCTGGAAAGGGAGACGGAAGCCTGAAAGGTAGTGAGGCTGGAGAATGGTGCCATCCTCTCTCCAATCCCTAAGCAAGGGTCTTGGGAGTCACGCTGAACTCCCCTTCACACTTCCTCTATCCCCTGCACCCTGTGGAGGCCACCTCTGAAATGTCTCTCATCTGCATCCTCTTGTCTCCATCGACCCTGCCATCTGTGGCAGGGGAGACAGATAAGTTCTGCATGAAGGTGACCCCAGGGTGAGGGCATCAAAGCCCTCCCTACATCCCACTCTGGATTAAATGTGCTGTTTCTCATGAATAGATAACACCAACAGGGATGCTAAATGATCTTTCCCCTTTCATTTTGAAATAAGAATTTTTTCCTTAATGTTCTTTTTATATTGTCCTGTCTCATGTCTCAGAAAATTGCTCCTTTTGAAGACCATTAGCCTGATCAAGCCTGATGAATATTTTAGGGGACTTTGGAAGGTAAGCAGGAGGGGTCCAGACAGATCTTTTTGAAGTCCTGCTACACTCAGTGGAAGGTCCTGACAGAGTTTACAATCCCCTTCGACTCTATGCCCTGGACCAGACCTTGGGTTGGGTGCAGGGCTCTCAGGCTGGGCTTGTATCTGGGGCGGGGTGACCCTGGGGATCATAGGGTGTCACAAAGGCAGATCTGAAGACATAGTACAGGACTGATGGGAGGGTGGCGGACTAAGTATTTGGATGAAGCACTCAATCCAGGAAGGCCAGAGCACCCTGACTTTGGGTTTGCAATCAAGGATAACCAGGCAGCAGAGATAACCCAGAACATGGGGAGATTCTCAGAGGCATCTGGAAACTTCTGGCCAGGCCCAGGATGGGGAGGAAGCAGGTGACAGTGCGGTGACCCTGACCACACCCCATACCCTGTGGAATGGAGACAGTGCACTGAGAGCCACCAAGGCAGCACTCAGTGGCTCCCCCATCCTGGCCTCCATCCCCACCCTCACGGCAGCCCCTCTCTTGGTGTGGCTGGCATGTTGAATCCACCTGCTTCAGTTGACTCTATGGCACTCCACGTCTGCCAAAGCTGCATGGAGAATAATCCTCTGGCTTGCTTTCTTTCACAACGCTTAGCATTTTTGTAGGACAATACAAAACAATTCTAAGGAAAAAGTAAAATAATTCCATAATTCAACAGTAGCAGTGACGCCTCTCAATATTACATTTTTTTCCTCCAGCTCTTTCAAAGTGTGCTCCATTGGGCAGCAACCCCCATGAAGCCCCATATAAAAATTCTGTATCTGGAGCTGAGCATCCTTTTGGGGGATCTCTCATTTTCATTAGCATATCCAAGGTTCCCAGCAGCCTCATACCGTAATAACTTTTCAACTTTACTGAAAAATGGAACTTTTTTATTTATAACCTTCCTATAAACATCCTGTGAAACAACTGCTGGGAAAGGTCTATTTGGATCACACTGCCTAACAATGTGAAAGTTTGCATGTTTCACTTAACATCGGCATTAAAATGTCTTCACAAATTTCATTTTGAGTAGCTGCAGAATATGGCTATATTATAACATACTTAAATATTTCCAGGTATTCATGATGCACCAGCTATTATAAATGATGGTGAAATAGATTTCTAGAGCATAAATATTTGTTTGCATTTCTGATTATATCCTCAGGAAAGATTCCTGGAAACAGAATAACTGAGTCAAAGGGTGGAGGTATTTTTAAGGCTCTTGATCTATATCATCAATTTTTTTTTCTGCACAAGATTATGCCTATTTATACTCCTGCTCACAGAGTGTGAGCGTATGCAGGCATTGTATTCTTGCCACATTGAGTACTAAAAATAAAGCAAAATCCTGGTAATTTGAAAGAGGGTATATTTTTTCTCATTTTAATATGGGTCACAAAAGATAGCAAGATTTATATTCTCCAGAATCAAAAGGGAAGGCATTCTGGGTGTAGGGAACAGCCTGAGCCAAGAGTCAGAGGGTACGGATGCTTGGGAGCTGGCTGCCCTGATGAGCTCCTAATTGGGCATCTGAACAGTCTTTTAGCTCATACTAGACTTATTCTTGCAGACTTCTCCCACCAAATAATCTGTGACAGCAGCTAAAAGAAATGCCTAATTAGGATTTCATAAATGTGGATCTATGATCAGGAAGAGACCCTCATTGACCCCCTGCTAGAACTGCAGGGTCAAACTGTAATTGAAAAATGATCAAGCCAGGAGGCAGCAAAAGTAAATGTGTCAATGCATAGTTCAACCAAGAAAGAAGGGAATTAGGCAAAGTGACCTTTCCTGGGGGGGAGAGAAGAACTTTAATTCCTGACTGTTCATGAATCACTGATGAACCCAGCTGGCGCTAAGCATGTCCAACATCATCCCCTGAAATGATGCTCAAGGCCTCACCTAGACCAAAGATACTTGGATCTCCCAGCACCTGCAGATGTGTTCCCAAGGTGGGCAGCTGCAGCTGCTGATTAGCTGTCAAGTGAATCAGAGACCAGAGACCCAGAGACCAGAGCTAAATGTTCCGGAAGGGTAGCAGGGACAATGTCAAAGGAAGTCAGAATTAAGAGTAGGCTGGCATTCCAGGGTGAGTCGGGGGCCAGTGAAGCCTCCCATTAGGTGAGGAGGAGAAAGTTAGGTGAGAGGTTCTCTGTGTAGCTGCTGAAAGGTTGATCCAGATGTCATATAAAGGGTCACATTGGAAATTCTGACTTGATTTACCCAGTAAATCAGATGTTTTTGAATGCAGCTATTCAACATGAGATACATTCGCCTTCCAACTACTATCAGTCAACTATTACATCTACTGAATCCTGCAAGAGATACAGAGCTTATGAAAAATGTCCTTTGCCTTCAGGATTTTCAGTTTGATGGAGGGGGTACATCAAGTACACAAATGCTCAACTGTAATGGGAGTTGAGGTAAGTGTTGTAGACCTGGTGCAAAGCACTGTGAGGTCCCAGGGGATGGAGAGGTTCTTTCTAGCTTGGAGAAGATGGAATTCAGGGTGAATATTGAAGGACTGTTAATATTTAATTAGGAATAGATGGCGAGTAATACATACCAAACAAATGAAGCAGAAATTCCTTATTCCTTTATCTATTCATCCACTACTAAAGGTACTAGCTTTGGGGCATATGGGGATTCATACATTCACTCATTCATTCACTTCTGTAGACATTTACTGAATATGTATCTTACTTTGTGAACAAGAAAAAGCACATGCCTTTATGGAGCTTATAGTCCAGTCATGGAATCGACAGAAAAGCTTATAACGGATTGGGATTCATGCCTGGCACAGATTTGTGCTAGGTGCCATGTAAACCCTGCAGAGAAGAATGGGGATGTCGGATGCACTGGGAGGATGGGAAAGAGCAAAGACACAGGGTTTGGCTGGGGAAGGGGGTGGTCAGGATGCATTTGAGAAAGGTGAGGAGTATGCAGTAAGGCTGCAATGACTGATTTGGAACAGAGGATTGAGGACTTGGGTTGCCTTTATTCTGTGGGCAACGGGAAGTCTCTGGATGGGAAAAGGAGGTGGCAGTCATAACAATGATCCTGGAACATGCTTTTCCATTTTGAAGCAACTTGTCATATTCCTTCTTATACTATTTAATCCTCACCACACCCTATAAAATTGGAGGACCTATTCTGTCCTAGGCACTATTAGGAATACGGGTCAAGAAATGACATGGCTTCTTATCTCAAAGAACTTGGAATCCTGGGAGGCAGAGCTGACACACACAGCAGTGTAGACTTCCACATTGGGCCTCTTTTCATTTCACAGACAACCAGTGACTCAGCCTCACATACTCACTGTCCATCAGGGTCTTGCGTAGAGACCTATCTTCTGAGTAGTGACTTGCATGTCAGATTGTCTCCAGACGCATCCCCCTCCTGACATTCTAAGGGCACTTCCAACTCATGGTGTCCAAGATTGAGCTCAGCATCTCCCATTCTACAGCCTAACCTCCTCCTTCTCCCGGGATCCCCTGCCTCAGCAAACACTCCCTCATGCGATCTGTCATCCACTTCAGAACACTGTGTATTGTTTTTGACTTCTCCCACTCTTTCGCTCCCTCTAGTTACTGTACTGCCCAGTTCTGATGATACTTCTGTCCTGTCCATTCTCCCCTACTCAGCACTTATAATACTAGAGAGGGGAAGGAGGTGAATGGAGGGGTGACTGACTGAAAAAGTGTGTCTGGAACAGGCTATTGCAAGATGGAAAGGATCTGAGCACTTGGAGCAGGGGGGTTGTGGGAGAGCTTTCGTGTGAGTATGGTTGAATAGAGTGAGCAGACCACTAGTGACCAGCTGCCCTGGGGCTTGAGGTAGCCACAGAATGAGATGGACAAGACAGCAAGAAGAGGGGCGGAAGGAGTTGGCGCAAGCCAAGTCTGTGGGTAATGGGTTGAGTATCATAGCTGCTTCATGGATTTCCCAGGACTCATTCTTTGGACTTTGGGAAAATAATTGAACCTTTCTAATCCATGGTAGCCTCATCTGTGAAGTGGATATAATAATG